GTAGTCGTAGCAGTGGCAGTAGCAGCAGTTGCAGTAGCAGCAGTAGTAGTAGTAGTAGTAGTAGCAGCTGCAGCAGTACACGTAGTGGCAGTTGCGGCAGTGGCGGAGGTGGTAGTGGTAGTGGTAGTAGTACGTGTCGTTGTCATTGGCGTCTTCGTCGCCATTCGCTTCGTCGTCCTTGCTGTTGTTCTTCGTACAAGAAGGTCGCTGTTGCTCGGTGTTTCTGTGTGCATGATCATGATCGCAGGTCCCTGCGTGCCTATGGCTGTGGATGAAGTTGATCTACTGGCCGGGTTCCAAGTGGGTTCAAGGATGCAGACTGCATGTCCTTCCCGGTTTGAGCCACTTGAGATTGAGGGCGACGTTTGTAATAACCTGACACCCTTGGTTTCGGTATCATCAACGTGGTGTCCGGCTAAGGTGCCTATGCTGCGCTCCACTGCGGCATTTGCCCGCACCTCATGTTGCATGTCCTTGTCTGCCCTGCCAAACATCGGCTCGGTCAGAAAGGAATTCGCTCGCAGATGCACAAACATGAAACGAAGCTAATATAGGACCTAGATAATTACCTATATGATTTTGGGGGCTCCTTATATAGGACCTAAATAATTACCTATATGACTTTGAGGGCTCCTTATTAAACTATAGTATAATGGACCCCAACACCCTATTCTAATTATTAAGGCCCCTACATTACCCTAAATGGAAATGGAAAGATCCTGGGCTTGAGTTTGTGGTGCTCTTGAGTGGATGCACATCACCTAGACCTGCCACGGTTTGCATGTGGGTAGTTCTCTAAATTAGGGTCCCTTTGGGGGTCCTTTTTATAAGGGTTCCGTACTATATTGGGGACCCAAAAAGGGACCCTAATTTAGAAAGCTACCCATGTCAAGTATCCAGTTTCGGTCACGCTGGCAAAACGGGGGCCCGAGTTTGCCATGCAGAAACCCTAAACCCTAAACCCCTAATCACCTCCTTGGTGTTGCCCTTTGCTCTGCTTTGCTTTCCTGACGCGGAGGTGTCTCTTGAAATGCAGACACTACGTGCCTGAGCATTCTTATGATGGAACCCTCATTAGCGCCCGTCCAGAGCCCTCGGGGAAGACTAGAAAAGCCTAAATAGGGGCCTCAATGAATAGAATAGGGTTTGGGTTTTTTTTTATTGTAATTATAATGAGGAGCCCCAAAACCCTATTCTAATTATTCAGGCCCCTACATTATGAGCCGAAGGTCCAGGACCGAAAGCCGCGGCCATCGATCACGCTCATCACGGACTCCATCGGTATAGGGCTTATGATGCGCCTTCCTTAAACTACCCTAACTCTAAGTCTAGACAACCTACATTTTGTAGGTTATAAAGATCCTACAAAAAGTAGGCTATGGTAGTTCAAGCCAGGGTTTAGGGCTCCCCGACCCGGAAGTCGCAGAAGCCGAGGTTCTTCTGGCTGTTCCCCAGGGGAACTTTTCGCAATGAGAGGCACAACAGCCTGCAGCACTCGATCCAAGCTTAGCTATGTGGGGGGGCGGGGGCGGGGATAACAAGCTGCGGGAGGGAAGCTTCTAGACTTCTAGAATGTAGAAAGTTCGGTGACATATTATACATATATATATATATATAGATGTTTATATATATATATATAAATATATATATATAGAGACAAAGAGAGACAGAGAGAGAGAGAGAGAGCGCGAGAGAGAGAGAGAGAGATTGTGTGAGATCCTACATGTCGGGAAGAGGCAGAGCGTTTGAGCGTACTGCGAAAGGCAAGTTTTCTTAGAGATACCAGACATCGTTCCGATTCCTGTCTTTTCTAGAGCTGGGATAGGTCTAGCGAGCTTTCAAGTCTTGCGATGTTTCGGTGTCTTTTGTGTGCGCTTCCTGGCCAACATGTTTACAGAACTACACGCACACACACACACACACACCCTATCACCCTAGACCCCTAAGCCCTAGAAAACTCAAAAACCCGAAACCCTGAAGCCCCAAGAATCCGCAATCCCAAAAGGCTTGATTCGGCAGCATTGTGTTGCTTTCTTGCCGCTGGCTTGAGGGTTTCAGCCTGAGCTGTATGCCTGCCAAGGATGTCCTCCATCTCCATATATGCGGAAGTTTGACGCCGCGCAAGACCTCGAAGGACTGCGGACACGATGCTTCAGGGGGTAATTTCACTTCAATATCGGCTTTGCAGGAGTTGAATCGCGTCAGGTTCAGGTGCCTCGGGTACAGGAGGATGTTTGCGATGTGAGAGGGTGTGGCTGCGCACATCCTGTCTGATTGGCATGCCAGCACACCACCCTGTGCGGCAGTGGAGGTTGCAGGATGGTCCATGGTAATGAAGAGTGGGAGCACTATCAAAACGAACAGGCAGAAGTAGTGACCAGGGACGCGACACACCAAGCCAACATTGATGCTAAAGGAATAGCAGTTACAGAAATAACGGCAATGTTGGTGTGCTGTAGCGGCTGATGATGCTGATCTTCAGATTTTAGATACCCCCCAAAAAAAATTAGAGTCTTACTACCAAGACCGTTTTTTTTCGCCCCTACATAGTTCTACTGGAATATGCCCTCAAAGATCTGGGCTGATTGTTGAAGGCCCCTCGCCTGATAGCCAGGATCCAAGCTGTTCAAGCTGAGCTGATCGTCATGCCACTGTTCACTTCGGCAGACCGCTGCACACGCAGGTTGGAGAGAGACCGATCGCCGCATGTCTTCTGTAGTCCTACGTAACAATACTCTCTGTACCCACGTAACTTTACTAGAGTATGCTGAAAAAGCCTGTTCCTAATCTTCAGGCCATAAAACATCACAACTCTCTCTTCCTTCCTGCGAACTGGCCTTCCGAGTGTGAGCTTCAGCCTCGGCCAATGAGATGATGCCGAGGATGCTAACGATCGCTGAGAAAAGAGGAGTGGTTAGGGTTTAGGGTTTGGGGTTTGGGTTTTAGGGTTTAGGGTTTAGGGATTAGGGTTCTGGTTTTGGTTTCGGGTTGGGGGGGCTTGATGCCCAGTGTTGAACTCGCAGTCGTCTTTTCCTTGCTCTAGAACCCCTTTAGAGCCACAGTGCAGATTTGATTCTGCCAAAAATGCCGAAAGGTTTCATAGTAAATAGTTATTGTGCGAGCCAGCGTCCCATTACCTGACATCCATGTCGTAGAGACTCCGTGCGCACTTCTTGTTTGTATGAAGCTCTCTGTGAGGGTTCCAGTGAGGTTGCGCATCTAACCGGAAACGAAGTGCATGTGTTATCCGACGCTACTTGAGGCCGCTTTATCTACTTGACATCTGCGTGGGTTTGGGATTTCAGGGTCATTGATTGAGGGTTCTACAGGGTCTTAGAGTTAAGGACATTCAGGGTTTGGGATTGCACAGGGTTGTCAGATGGGTTCCACAGAAACCTGCGACACCTCTTGTTGGGGTCTCGACTCTAGCTAGACTGTATTCATCATCCTGTGTATGTAAGCATCACCGTTGGCCTGTCATCCCTCGCTCTTAGCATTCGTTGAACCAAGCCTTCTTGCTTCTCGCCATGCAAGCTTGTGTCGATGCATGTCAGCCATCAATGTAAACGAGCAGCAGTAATATAGAAGCCTTAATAATTAGAATAGGGTTTTGGGGGTCTGTTATACTATAACTCTAATGACGAACCCCCAAAACCTTCTTCTAATTATTAAGGCCCCTATATTGCCACTCCTTATGGCGAGGGTTGGACATGGCTGTTGCCCCTCGGTAGACTCGATAGATGCAACTTCGCAAGACCGTCCCGGAACCACGGGCTCTGGCTCATGAACACAGTGCAGTGCAATGGGTTAGATGCTACTGTATCCACAGTCAGAGCTCAGTCAGAATTCATCGACTTGTGAATGCAACCAACAAGCACGTCAGACCTGGACCAGTACCTACAAGTGGGTTTTGTTTGCGGATTCCCTTCGTCGCCTGTAGCCATCTGCAGTCATGGTGCGAATTCCGGAGAAGGAGCTGCAGTTGCATTGAGCAGACTGCTAAACATCCGAGGGTCTACTTCAAAGGAAACACTCGTATACAAGCAATAGAATGCGAAAAATGACGCTATGGGAAGCATACGTAGAAAGTACCTACACGTGGACCATTTTGGCGTGCTTTTCAGCTACAACCCAGTTAGTTGAGTATACGACGACATACATTTCCAGAGTAATTAGTAATGAGATGTAGCAACGTCCCAATAGATAAGCCGCCAGAAGAGCAATTAGCGACACCTTGCAGCCCTCGAAGAGCCTTTAAATCACATGTACCTACTGTCGAATCGTACGTCGTACCACATCCAAAGCCAATCCAAGGACGCGAAACCCTCAACCCTTAGCTTTACCGCCAAACTCCCAACCCGAAGCCCCAGACTCGAACCTTGGAGCTATGAAGCCTTAATAGAGGGGCCTCAATAAGTCCTTGTTATCGTTATAGTATATTATTCCCCAACACCCAATTCTAATCATTAAGGCCCCTACTATAGAATCCTATTGTAGCCCTTTAAGGATCCCTGTAAAGGAGCCTCGAATCACTACAGCCCTGGAGAGCTGGATCCCTGCAGGTTCCTGGTCCAAGCCTGCAGATGTGAGCCAGAAATCCGTCTCTGAAGTGTGTCTTCCGAATAAAAGAAAGCTCCAAATCTTATAACTTTCTTTAAGCGGAACGCAGCGGAGCTCCCCAATCCTATACCCTGGTATCTTTTGCCAAGAGAAACAGCATTTTGGTTGGAAGGACCCTGGGGAGGTGGCGGCAGCGGCCGCAGCGGCCGCGGGCCAAGCTTCGAGCACTTCCGAGTGCATAGTTTGGGGTTTGGGGTTGAAACTTTGGGTTTAGGATCCCATTTAGGGCTAGCGGCTAGGACTAGGGTTTAGGAGTTTAGGAGGGTTTCGGAAGTAGTAGTGCCAGGGTTTAGACGTCGGTTTAGGACGTATCTCACTCTGCTAGGCAGCCTACGGCTTGTACTCTGGGTTGTAGCTTTAGGAGCTCCCCCATCCCACTATAATGTAGGGGCCTAAATAATTACCAACGCTAGTTTTGGGGCTCCTTATAATTTGATTATTAGTATAATGGGCCCCAAACAATATTAAGGCCCCCTATATATATTGAAGCCTCACTTCCTAGTCCTAGTTCAGGGGTTATGTTAGGACATGAGGAAAAGCGGAGTTCGATCAAATTTGATCTACAAAACCCTTCTTTGTCCAGGCCCCCCGAGGGTTTGGGACCCCGCAAGCAAAAGTTTCCAGCACAGAACGGCAAAAATGACAGGGCTTCCTTTTGAGGGTTGAAGTTTAGAGTCTGATTTGTCTGTATACAAATCGGTAGAGCCTTATATAGTAAACATTGAACCCTAAACGCCTTAAACCACCAAACTTCTTATGGAAAGCCTTGCAGGACTCGTTTAGTAACCCTGATTGTCTTAAGGGCACCCTAAACCCTAAACCCTAAACCCTTAACCCTAAGTAAGCTTGTTTGAGGGCCCAGCCCCAAAACCCTAAACCGTTTTAGTCACCCTTTTGCATGGTCATGCCGAAGCCCCTACACCCGAAACCCTAAAGCCTAAGCCCTAAAGCCTAAACCCTCAACCCCAAACCCCTGAAATTAAAAAAATCCTTGAACCCTGAACCTCTAAACCCTAAACCCCTGAACCCTTTAAAGCCTGAAACCCTGAACCCTAACCCCTGAAAAAGAAAAAACCCGGAACCTGAAAACCCTAAACCTCTGAAACCTCTAAAGCCTGGAACCCTGAGCTTACACGAGGCAGCCACGGCCGGGGCCCTGGCGAAGGTGGCCGCCAAGCAGGCCGAGAAGGCTCCGGAGGCCACTTTTAGGGTTTAGGGTTGCAGGGTTTTCGGGGTTTTAGAGGTTTGGGTTTAGGGTTTAGGGCAGGGTTGCCACCCGGTCGTCTAGGGTGTAGGGCTTTCGGGGTTTTAGAGGTTTTGGGGTTCGGAGTTTGGGGGTTTAGGGGTTTGGGGGTTTAGGGCTTTAGGGGGTTTAGGAGTTTGAGGGTTTAGGGGTTTTAGAGGTTTGAGGGTTTAGGGGTTCAGGGGTTTAAGGGTTTAGGGGTTTGGGGGTTTAGGCGTTTAGGGGTTTGGGGGTTTAGGGGTTCAGGGTTTTGGGGTTTGAGGTTAAGCGGTTTATAGGGTTCCCCAAACTCGCCCCGATCAAAAAGTCAAGTGCGACTCAAGCCTTCCGTGTGTTATTGTTGGGATGTAGAGGTGATAATTAACTGCTCTTCCTTTCGTCCCTGGCCCTAAACCCTAAACCCTAAATCTAAGTCTAAGTAGTGTCATTGATTTGGTAGTCGTGTGCGGATTGCTCTTTAGTCTTGGTGGTGGTCGTCATCCGTCGTGGTAGTCAACTGAGAATTACGTAGTAGTCTTCCTCGTAGCGGCAGTAAGTATGATGATGTGACCTGCTGATGGCCGTGACTCTACGCCTGTATGTGACGTAGATTCGGTCCTATAGCCTATAGTTAACTCGTTTTCGACACCGTCATAAGCATACGCTGAAAGCTAGGAAGCCCTGTCATCCTTTTCATCCTGGTAGCCCGGAAGTAAGCCAAGCCTCAGAGCCGCACACTCCCCTAAGCCCGTAGACGCTGTAGCCCCAAACCCAAAGTCCGGAAAAACCGCTTTCGGATGTGTGCAGGCGAAAAGAGTACTTAAAACACACACTCAGCCCTAACCCCCCAGGTACCTACTATAAAGGGTACTAGAGCCCCTAGGGCCCTATATAGTAGGTACCTGGAGGGTTAGGGCAGACTAAGCTGCATCGCGAGACCGCCGATGTGGACATGGCGGATGCACCGGCTTCGACCCAGGCAGTTGGATACACAGAGAACCCAATATCCCTTAATTAAGGAACATACCTTAAATGATAGGGGCCTTAATATTATGATTTAAGGTACAATCCTGAATTAAGGGGTATTGGGTTCTCTGGGTAGTTAGCAATGCTCGCGCACTTAAGGCTCAGGATGTTGGTGGGATTGGGCCGGGGGGGGGAGGCCTTGTGGCTATAGGGCCATTAGGATCCAGGAGGTGTCAGGGAGCTCGATCTTTAGAGATTGGTGTTTGAGGACATCTCAGCTGTCCGTGTAGTAATTATGCAGAAGGTGCTTCTGGGCTCCTGGGAGTCAGAAGTTGGGTTCTAGGCCCGGGTTATTGTGTGAGCACCGCGCCTCAGTCTCGGTGCCGGTCCTTCAGCAGCACGAAGTAAAATGGTCCTGTGCAGAAATTTGACCAAGTGACCAGCAGCTAGAACGGGTTCAGGGTTTTTAGGTCTTGTAGAAGTTTTGAGGTTTGTAGGCTTTTCTGGGGTTTACAGGGACGCGGCGGTTTAGCAACACTTGATCTCTCAATTTTCAAAAGTGAGCAGCAGAAGTTGCTGCGCACCGCGTCTCCCCACTAGACATGCCGGCTACAAAAACATTTTTACGCAGTCAGCCAGGGAGACTTAGAAACCTCAAGGTAGATTGCTAGAAATCAACGGACTACCACAACACCTATAGCAAGACTTTGGAGAGCTAGAAACCTCAAGGTAGATTGCTAGAAAATTGGGACACAAGACCTTATAAAACCGTAACAATCCTAAATCCCTAGAGCCCTTGAACCTATAAGCCCTGAATCCTTAAAACCCAAACTGCTAAAGCCCTAAACCCACGAAAATTATAGACGTTAATCCTGAAACCCATCAACCCTAAACCCCCAGGCCTTCATATACCCCTTATAAGGATCCCTCTAAAGGAGCCCCTAAACCCTAAACCCTACAGAACACCACGCCCTAAACCCTAAACCCTGAGCCCCAAGCCCTGAGCCCATGACCCTTTTGTTCCTGAACCGCTCTCCCCTGCACCAGGTGTTAAGCAACGCCTCGCTCGGAGCTTGACAAGTCTGTCTTTGTTCTGTTCTGAGGGTTTAGGGTCGGGGTTGCCTTGAAATGCTTTATTGGGGAACGAATTCTAGGATGTAGGGCCCAGGGGTGTAAGCTAGGTTAGGGAGGCGGGGAACTGCAGGTTGCCAACCCAGAACCCCACACCCGAACTCCACAAAAAACCTGGAACCCTAAGCCCAAAGCCCTAAACACTAAAACCCTAAAGCCTTAAGAGCCATAAGAGCCCTACTTGGAAGTTCATGGGTTAGTTATGAGCGGAGCTATACGTCGCCTGATGTAGGTTACAATTATGGTCAGACTACTCGCAACCCTACTTAAGCCAAGCTAAGCATGAACCTCCATAAAGAGCACTACTCTAGACCCCAAAGCACTAACAGCTAGAGGCATAACAGCCCCTAAAGCCTTGAGTGAGAGCCATACTTGGAGTTATAAGTCCCCCTAGTGTAGGTTATAACTATAGTTACCCTACTTGTAATCCTACTTACAACTACCCATGAACCTCCAAGTGGGAGTTTCCGAAAATTAGGGGTAGCTTATTTTGGTGGTCCTTATAATATGGATCCTACTATTTAGGGTACGAACTAGGGTCTCCTATTTTATGAACCTCCAAGTAAAGAGCCCTAAGCCATGAGATGAGGTCCGTGCGCTTCTTCGTCCGCGGGCTCGGCAGCCTCGGCGAGCACCACCTGCGGGACCCTGCAGTTACGAAAACAATTTTTAAAGTTTAGGGTTTAGGGTTCAGGGTTTAGGGTTCAGGGTTTAGGGGTTTAAGGGTTTGAGTTTGGGGTTTAGGGTTTAGGGGTTTAGGGCTTAGGGGTTTAGGGTTCAGGGTACAGATATAGACATAGATCTAGGTATGTTACTAATGGAAAGTGTTACTGAAGTCAACCAGGTTGACAGGTTACCTGATACATGCTTGTAGTTGAGTTTTATGAAGAATGATAATAAGGTGCCATGTATGCCTATGCTTATACTTACTTTATGCCTGTCTGTCTGTCTCTCTGTCTCTATCTCTCTCTCTCTCTCTCTCTTTGTCTCTCTGTCTCTTTGTCTGTCTTTCTGTCCCCCCGTCCACACAGTCTCTCTCTGTCTCTGTCTTTGTCGCTCTGTCTCTGTCTGTCTGTCTGTCTGTCTGTCTGTCTGTCTGTCTGTCTGTCTGTCTGTCTGTCTGTCTGTCTGAAGAGACAAAAATACACGTAGATATGTACACAGACTAAGTGAGAGCTTCGTGCATCCTCAGTCCCTCTTCAGAGTCTAAGGTACCAAGTTTGGGGCTCTACTTTCTAGATCCCCCCCCTAAACCCCTAAACCCTAAACCCCGAGCCCCCAACCGTAGGACTACTTCCAGAAGTTCGGCACCGTGGTCGAGGCGCTGCACTCCTGAAACTGAGCTCCGAAGGGTTGAGAGCTCAGGGTTTAAGCCGTTGGGTTTGGGGTTTCAGTTTTGTGGGTGGTTCAGGTTTAGTAACTAAGCCTCAACACCCCAAACTGTACTCCCTAAACCCTGAGGGTTTAAGGTTTAAGGCTGCACTCAAGGTTTGCGAGTTAAGGCTTTGGGTTTAGAGAGTTCAATACCCGAACTCATCTTTAAGTTCCGAGTTCCGAAACATTCCGTCGACTCTCCTGTTGCCAAGAACGCCTTAGGATATAGGGTTTAGGGTTGGCCGTCTGAAGAACTAGCAATGTAGTACAACATTGTATAAGGTAATACATTCTAACAAAGTTCAGATGTTACAATTCAGTTCAATATAGTCCAGTTGAATAATGTAATGTAGTAGTCCACAAAAGTATATAATAAAGTAAAACGTATGTTACATTGTTTCGGCTTTATATTGTAGAATACAAGAGTAAAATACAATATGATTCTACTATGGATATAATGCAATATACAGTGTACAACAATATACTCTAGCATACGATGATGTACCGTACTTTACGATAATGCAATCGTAATTTGCTGAAACAAACTATGGCATGATAGCGTCTTATATCAGACCATATCATACCATGTCATATCGCATCATTTGATATCATATCATATCATCTGGTATCATGTCATATCAGACCATGCCATGTCATGTCATATCATATCATATAAGGTACCATGGAAAACTTACTCTATCAGGCAAGCCTGGTGCGGGACAAGAAGACTCAGCGGCCAAGAGGCAACCCACTCGTAGCAGCAGCGCAAGTGTTGCCAGTAGGTGTGGCAATGTGGATGTGAAACGGTGGTTCAGTTTTCTCCGTTTTCTCCGCTATCAGTGAGGCGTCTTTGGGATCTTGGCCAAACTGCATTCCTGATGGAGCCGTGTGATGTGGAGACAGAACTCGCTTCATCCAGCTTCCCAGCGAGCGAGAGAGACAGAGAGAGAGAGAGAGAGAGAGAGAGAGAGAGAGCGAGAGTCGTGCAAGAAGCGCTGTGCGAGTCAGTCGCAGGCATGGCGTTTGTGTCGATCGCACCCAAGAAGCCGGAGGCAGCAAGTGTGTGTCTACAGTGGATGTGGTACACGACATTCTAACTATCACGAACATCGTAGTGTAGTTACTAGGGTATGTTCGTGAATGTGTGCAGCCGGTTCGAAGGCCTCTCTCCCGAATCAACTGCCTCCGACTTCCGAAAATGGGAAGCGCAGGATGGTCCTGCGCCTACAGTGGACGAGCTCGTCGAGATAATTACAGGTGCCAGGAGGGTGGTGGGACTTGTCGTGGAGCCCAGAAGTTGAGACCACATCTGCTGCAACCGCCCCCCAAATGCAATTCCACTTCGTCCCCTACTATAGGGGCGTTAATAATTAGACTAGGGTTTTGGGATCCATTATGCTATAGTCATAATAAGGAACCCAAACCCTATTCTAATTGTTTAAGCCCCTACATTAAACTCCAAACCTCAGATTGGTCTGTCGCGTTTCCACTACATCTCCACTTCGCCTCTAGCCTGAGAGGGAGAAGCAGATATCAGAAGCCTGCCAGGCGCAGACAGCCCGGACCTCGTGCTTCCCATACTTGGGCTAGGGGTTCAGGGTTTAGGGTTTAGGGTTCAGGGTTGAAGGTTGGTTTCGACTTCTGTGCACTTTCAACGAGTACGTCAGAGGCAGACTTTTCTTGCTCCGATCTTCTTCAAGATCGCGAAGTGTTCGTAACTGAACTTCGAGAGTGTCGCCTCCTTCGACGGGAAGTTGCTTTTTCTACCAAGCTTTCTGCGGGGATAGCTTCGGGTTTGGGGTTTAAAGTTCAAGATTTAGTATGTAGGCTGGCTGGGTCGTAAAGTGTTACGAGGCCTAAGTCCGTCAAAGATCTGCAATCAGGCCACAGCATCAAGGATGTGGAGATTGAAGTGCAGGAAGCTCTTCCGAAACCTGATGAGGACACCTCCGCTTGCCGCAGTTGAGGATATATATATATATATATATATAAGGCCTGAAGGTTTAGGGTTTGGAACGTCTCCCTGTCTAGCTTTAGGCGTGGGGGCTCTGTGTTCTGGCGGGTCAAGTGGCTGTTGGTGTGCTTTGCTCCCTGCAATATCAAAGCTTGCCGGGCTCGCGGCTTTTCTGGTGGACAAGAGACAGCGAACCTTAAGCTTCAACGCCCAGACAACACCCTTGCATTGCAAGCTTGCACAGGAGAAGAAGGTTGAGCCGGAAAAGGAAAAGGAAGGCCGACTCGGAACCGAGGGAAGCGGAGGCTGCTCGTTTTTTGCTTTTGAGCTGTGTCCCTTTGGTTAGAATTAGACATAGCATGCGTTTCGCATATTCGAGAATAGCTACCATGCGTGGCTATTGTTGTGATACTGATTGCCACGCTTCATTGTTGCTTTTTGTATTTGATGCTAAGCTTGTTCCCATCCTCGCATTATCTCGGCCTATGGACTGCCTTGGTTGGATTTTCCTGCATCGGTTTCAGTCGTCCTGGAAAAAAACGTGCAAAACCTGGCACCCTAGCCAGATGGAGCTTTTGCTGCGATTATAGCTGCAAACACGAACATCCTTCTGCTGCACCAAGCTGTCACAGTTTACCGTGCTGGCTTTGTACAGTACCGTACAACGCATAGGCTTTTCCTGTCCTGTACTGGGGCAGAAGGCAAAATGGGCTGTCTACATACGTGGAGTAAGAGCTTTTCGTCCATCATCTGCATTTGTCCAACTCGCTTTCTACAGACAATGCCTGGATCCCGGAACACTAAACCTGAAAGCCTAGAGCGTCATCAACCGAATCCCGGACTGCTGCACAGTTGAAGAGCAACCGGCACCTGTGCCACAGCAGAAGGCCTGGAAGGGCATCCGAAGGTTTAGTGTCAGTTAATATAGGGGCCTGCTAATTAATATAGGTGCCTAAATAGTAATTATAGTATAGTGGGCCCCAAGACCCTATTCTAATCATTAAGGCCCCTATACATATTATATACTTCTGTGGGGATACTAGAATACTAAAGCGGATATTACAGTCAGGGTTACAAATGGAGCATTAGGAGGGTACTGCAAGGATTTTGGGGACCAGCTTTCGATTCTCAGGATTTTGATGATGCTCTGACACAAGGAGCAAGCAATACCAGGGTCAGAAGAAATAAGTATTACAGGGGCCTTAATTATTAGAATAGAATAACTAGAATAGCGTTTGGGGTATATTATGATACTCGAGTATCATATACTGCCTGCCTGCCAGTCGCACTCTTATTACTATAATTATAAGAACCCCCGAAACCCTATTCTAATTATTCAGGCCCCTACATCAGCAAGCCAATCGAGACGGTATGCTCACGGCTACAGAATCTTCCAGAGCATTCTACGCATGTCGCACAGGTAAACTCTCTTCTACTGCGACTACAACCCCCTTGCACCCTGAAGCCCCAAACCAAAACCCCTAAACCTTCAAGCCTCAACTGAAGCTGATGCTCGGAAACGACAGCGAGTACCTTAAACGCCAGACCTGTCTCTGCGACTCCAGGAGGTGGCCCCGTTGCCAGCGATTGACTATGCCGCTCAAGCAAAGGCGCAGGCAGGTCGGTGCAGACCGAATGCGGGTTTCGAGCGAGTGACATGTCTCCAGCAAAAAGAGGTTTAGGATGATAGGGCCTGGAGCTTTGTATGAAGGACAGTGGAGCTGCGGGTCAAATGACCAACGTTCGACTTCTCAGCAGATTGGGGCTTGAGCCCTGCAGTGTAGCAAGAAGGGGCTTGAACAAGTACTGATACTGTTTTAATAGCTACTTCATCCTCTTCTACTTATTCAGGTTCACATCTGTGAGGGTCTAGGTAGATGCGAGCGAGAGCCCTCGAGGCCACGTCGCTAGAGAACTTATCCTCCTGGGCGGCAGAAGGCGTAAAGTGCGATTCCATTGGCAAGAGAAGCTGCAGACGTACAGATGCCACATGTCACGGTGCAAAGTGGCTGTTTCCAGCACCTATTGTCGGAATACATAGTATGCTGCAAGGCCCTGCGCGGGTCACTTCGAACTTTGTGTGATAGATCAGACAAAGATGAAAGCCTCCCGCTCGCCAGGCTCAGTGGCAAATGCACTATTTGGCAGAGCCCTTAGTTGCACTGCAACGAGTCTTTACAGATTGTTAGGGTTAGGCCTTAGTAGCTCTGTCAGGGGTTGGGGGCCATGCAACATTCAGACTCAACTTCAGGGTTTTCGCAGAGTCAAGTGCAGAGAATTTTCAGCTGGAGGGAAGGGGCCAGCCGACATGGGACACTTGCAGCCACATCTGTACTCACCAAGCCTTGAGCCGTAACTCCTGAATCAATGTGGGGCCCAGACGCATCAGGACAGCGGTATCTTACAAAACTCTCGATCCCTAAGCTTCCCAAACCCGCCCTATGCAAGTAACCCTTGCAGGAACAGTTGACGGAATTATCACGGCCCCTAACACGGAATTATCAAGGCCCCTAACACCGAAGGCGATGGCGATCAACCTCTCTGTGCCCGACATGGCTGGTGGACCGCCGCCGCCGAAAGGCAAAGGCGCCTGGGTGGGACCTTGTGGATTTGAGGTTCTGTAGGGTTTAGGGTTCAGGGGATTTGAGGTTCTGTGGGTTGAGGGTTTAGGGTTCAGGGGATTAAATCCCAATCATTTGGGGTTCTGTAAGGTTTCTTACTACAAGGGTTCTTTCTAGGCAACTACAAGGGTTCTAGAAAGGTTCTACTGCAAAGGTGAAAAAGGGGGGTTTTGAGGTTTGCAGGTTTCGGGTTTAGGGCTTCGGGATTTCGGGGTCAGGGGGCCGTAGGTTGAAGGTCTATTCCACAGATAAACCGTAAGCCCTGCAGGGTCTGAGAAGGTGCGGCGTTTTAAGATTTTAAGGGATGTTTTCGGTTGGGTTAGGTGCTCTTAGGGTGGGCTTGGACTGTTTTTCGAGCATGCAGACGATCCGGGTCAGAACTTGGACTGTGATGAAAATCCAGCAAGTCTAGCAAGGTTTGGCGCAAGTAACACCAGCAGCAGCAGCGGCGGCAGCAGCAGCAGGAAGTAGCCGTCGTCATCGTCGTTGTTGTAGTAATAGTCGCACTCGTCGTCGCAGTCGCAGTACTAGTTGGTAGGCGTAGTAGCAGCAGTAGTAGCAGTAGCAGCAGCAGTAAGCAGTAGCAGGAGCCGGAGCAGCAGCAGTGGCAGTTGGAGGAGGTGGAGGAGGTGGCGGTGGTGTTGGTGGTGATGTCGGTGGCTGCGGTGGTGGTAGTCGTCGTAGGCCCGGGTGCGATAACTAATACCAGTAGCAGTACGAGTGCTACTGCTACCGATACTTTCCCCGATACGGGTTGTAGAGCCATCAGCGTTCTGGCTCACGGGTTACTTCAGGGTGTCGCTTTGAAGGTCTCGCTTTTTTGTTTAGGCGGTTACGCTTCTTCGCTTCAGGATTTGTGCCAATGGGAGGCGCTCGTGGGACTTTGAAGTCCAACCGTCAAACTCGAAGGCTAAGCACACACACTCTAAGCGATGCTGTACGGCGTTTGAGTGCTACTGTCGTCGTTCGACCTTTAAACCTTAGACCCATTTACCCTAAACCCTAACCCCTGAAGGCGGCGGAAAGGGCGCGGCCGATGAACCCAACGGGGATGGTGGCATCTTGGCACCAGCGGGGTCCGCTTGGACACATGTAGGGTTTACGGTTAGGGTGCGGTTGAACATTTTTGCCAGTTCTTTGGGTCTGATCACGCTTGTTTAGGCAGTGTTTTGAAGCATTGTCAAGCATTGTTTAGACACAGCGTTGCCTGCCTCGGGAGACGAAGCAGCCGCATGTGTAAATAGCCTGGAGCCACAGCATCATGACCTCCGAGCCGTGGCCCCAGCCCAAGCCTGTATTGAACGCGCTTCAAACCTCAGTTCAAAAGAGCACCGTTGCACTTTCGATAGCATGTTGCCTGAGGATTGCTTGACCTTCCCAACTGCTTTGAAGCATGAGATCATGTGCCGTTTGCAGGTTTAGGGTATAGTGTTTGGGGCAAGGTTGGGGTTGGGGCTTTGGGTTTTAGGCCTGAGCGTCCGTTCACGCACATAGGTTTACATATTTAAGCACGCAAGCTGTTTAATTTGCTTTAAACTGCTTTTTTGCTTTCTACAATGCTTGCCAGAGCGGGGCCTCCGAGTTAAACGTTGCAAACGCTTCGGATTTGAATTGCATTTAAACTGCAATATTTTAATCGGTTTAAACAAGACCCGCGCTCCGACCCCAGAAAAACAATAAATGCCTTGAGCCCCAGATTGAGAACTGAAGATCTCCAAAGTCTGTTCGTGCGTGAGCTGAACTATCATCATTCACGGGTCTTTCTGTTCAACTCGGTGACAAGAAGCTTCGGTTATATGGCAAGGAGGTGAAGTTATTTCTTTGCAGCTTAAGCGCGTAACATCAGAAGGGGCATTTTCATTTTTTTTGCGAGGAGGGCAGTGTTTGGCAAACAGGCATGCCACATGAGAATCTAAAAAATCAATGACAATGCTAACCTCGTGTATCGACCAGTTCCTACCGGAAAGCTCACGACCCGTTCATCGAAGGAACGCTGGTTAAGTCGCAACGAGACGCCGTCTACATTTTCAGGTTCAATCCGTAATTGGACATTACATGAAATTTCAGAAAGTTAATGCAGAACTAAAAGTAGCAGGATCCGTGGTATGTGGATCCGTAAATCGGGTACCTAGTTTTGATTGCGACCCCCCCCCCGGTCCACATGTGCGATCATGCTTGATCTATGATGCTCCCATGCTAAATCCTCCGAAGGCAGTCAAGCAGAGCAAACGGCGGGCACGGTTGCCCCGAGCCCGAAAGCAGGCTCTGTGAGCTTTGGGTTTAGCAGGCTGAACGGTGAGGCTTGCGATTTGACATTGAGCGGTTGCAACCTGTCACGGAAACGAGCAGAGATTTGTTTCTTGTTCGCTGATGCAGCTTCAACCGAACCATACCCTAAACTTCCAAGAGCTATACCCCAATCCCCTCAACCCTTCTACCCTAAACCTCTAACTGCATCACAACGTGAAACCCAGCACCCCTGAAGCCTTAAAGCCCGATTACAACAACTCAGCAACCCCTACTGCAATCCTATTAAACCTTGCGAAACCCGACTGGAACCCTACAAATCCTTCAAAAACACTGTGAAAATTCATAAACAGAAACGGAAAACCCGACCATGATCATGATCCCTACGCCTTCTCCAGGTGTACGCGCAGCGCCGTGCTTTGGCTGAAATAGCTGCTTCAATTGCCTAAACTTGGTTTTTTAGGGGGAAGGGCGGTGGCGGTTGGTGTTAGCAGTTAAAGTTAAGGTCTTAAGGATAGGCTTGTGCACAATGTACAGCGAGACGGCACCAAGACAATCTATCCACATACATTCCATTCCCTCTTTGCACATAGCTGCTGTCATGAAAGTGTATGTTCGATTGACCTGATACTTCTTGTTCAATATTGCCATACGTGCTATATTGGGTGTTGGTGCTCTCTGCGGCGTTGCTTGTGCTTGTACTGTGCTGCATAATACAGCTGGCCATAGCTGGTCTTGTTCTTCGTAGACCTACAATTGCGATTGCCATCCTTAGTGTTTGTTGTGTAATCATACAGTATTCATAGGCGGCAGAGACGTTATGCACGCCATCCTTCCTGTGGAAGCCGAACGACGAAGGGCGACCAAGATCAAAGACTACCTTGCTGCATACGGTGTTACGACATGGACTCACTCATCGGGTGGGCACTTGAACATGGTGTTGCCAAAAGCGGAGACATGTGGGATATTGCAGCCTGGTCTGGCAACTGAAGCGACGAGGAGTATAGCATAAAGGGACCTAACTCGAGTGAGGGTCAAGACTCTTTGCATCAAAGCCTTGGATGGGGAGGGTACCATCGCCAAGGTGTAGATCTTGCTGTGGAATCTGGTGAGGTCTTGCACTCTTAAAATGAAACCCGGAACGGGCAATGAAACTGGGTTCAGGTTCATCAGAAAACGCAACCTTAACTTTAAGGTATCCTTCCTGTGTTCGTAAATCTTCTACACGACGATGAGCCTTCGCTGTGCCTGCACTCAGAAGCTTGTTGATGCAAGGTACTGACTCTGAGGGCGCCCACACGCTCTCTCTCGCACGTGACCTTGCAATCAATATCCGGCGTTTGCTCTCCAACGCTTATGTGCAAGAAGTGAAAGCAAAACAGACGAGGAGCACGAATGGACCGATGCTGTAGAAGCTGCGGAGCCTTAAACCCTTCATCCCGAGGCCATACAAGGACCCAGGCCAGTCTACAACTTGCATTCAACTGCTCATGCCAGCATCCTGCAAAGTGCAAGCTGGGTTCCTTCTGTGCATTTGGTGGCATCCCGCACCTTAATCGGTGTCGCTTGCCGCCTTTGTTTAGCTAGACCTCTCCCCACTCCTCAGTGTCGTTTGCATGACTTCCCATGCGTATTCCCCAGGTGCAAGGCACAACACAGCAGCCTAGGCTCTTCGGTCCATGTCGCTACGTCAATGTGCAGCAACCGACCGCTGCAGAGATTCCGTTGATGCTTCCGAAACTGCCTCTCGCAGATGTCAAGGTGACAAACCTGGCGCGAGCAAGTACTGAATGAAGGTCACAGTTTTACAGACGGTGCGGAGGATAGCTACCAGTAACTAGCACTAACGACAGTAACGGCAGTAGTAGCAGTAGCAGGGGCAGTCTTAGCAGCAGTAGTTTGAATCCAACACTGCTACTTCCAACCGGAGAAATCCCAACTTCCAGGTTTGCAGCCCTTGGATCTCGCAAGCCTAGGGAGATTGAAGAAGCCAAAGCTTTTAAACTGTGGAAAGTATTTTTGGGGTAGAGGTCAAGTGCCATAGTAAGAATATGGTTTAGGCGCATCTTTAGACTGTAGATATAGGATGTATATGGGGATGACACTAGGACGTGTTAGGATCTTTGGCGTATGGTAGAGGCTTTAGGCTGAGTAGGCTGTTCTGAACTGAGAAGGAGTTCGAGCTTAAAATAGGGGCCTTGACAGTTAGAATAGAATTTTCCCGTTATACTATAATTATAGTAAGGAACCCCCAAAAAATCGCAATTGCTTGGGCCCCTACATTAGTTGGCTTCGCCATACTTGTGCCCGAGAGATCATTTTCTTTTGCTGCGCGCCATGGGCTGCACCTCATCCGTCCAAGATGCAGGTCGGCTACCCGGGCATGGCAACGTTGAGGATTTAGGGTTTATGGTTTTAAGGTATAGGGTGTTGGGGATGTTCAGGGTTTAGGGTTTTAGGGTATAGGGTGTTAGGGATTTTAGGCTTTAGTAGGGTTTTAGGGTATAGGGGTTTAGGGATGTTTAGGGTTTAGGCCCCTCCAAGACTGAAAGTGTGGAAGCTTTGTCGCCTGATTCCTGGCATGTGGTGGGCTGCTTGATTATCCTAGTGTTGATGATATAAATCCTGCATTACCTTAATGGACCGTAAACTATGGGAATTCTGGAATTATGGTATATTCGTTATTATGGGAAATGCGTGATTTCTATCATCAACCGTAGTGCTGGCGAGCCTTGCTGATCATCACTGGCATGGGCATGAAGGCAGAGACTTCGAAACCCCGTCATGGGAATATACATCAAACTATTCTCTGCAGTCACTGATGAAACATGCATACTTCCTGTGAATGGAGAGAGGCAAGAGTCTGCAAGAGTACTCTAGAAGGGCCAAAATCGGGCTTGCTGCCTTGGCTGGCTCTCTACCGCACTGATATTCGGTGAGCAGCAGTTCCCGCTACTGGATACTACCGAGATCTTCCGAGGTCAGCAATCCAAACTTTCATCATCTGCATGACCCGCAATCTGCAATTCGAAACAACACTTCCCTTCAGCCGAATTACTCACGTTGCAGGCACGGGTAAAGTTATGAACATAACGGCAACCGCACTCTGACGACATTCCCTAAACCCTCCCTTCAACTTCAGAAGCCATCCTTTAGCACCGGAGGCGGTTTTGAAATGTTGGCCAGGTTTTCTGGTCTCTTAGTCTTCAAAATCGAGCTATTCGGTGGCTATGGAAGACCGCTTGCAGATATTATGTTCACTGTTATGATGAGTTTCAAATTCAGCCCAGTCATGTTGGCATGTCCACCGCCTTCGCCCACGGCTCTCCCAAGGCCAGCCCGTTTTCGCGCCATCGCATGCAGCACAAGCCCGTCAGCGGCCTGCACCACAGGCACCTCATGCCATGGGCCGGTTGATACTAATATAGGGGCCTAAATAATTACCGACACTATTTCGGGGGATCCTTCTTGTAGTGGTAGTATAATATACCCCAAAACCCTATTCGAATTGTTGAGCCCCCTATGTTATTGGGCTTGAATTGTTGGTGCAGGTAGCAGAATATTACTGCCATTGGGGTACGCATCAGGATCAAACCGGAAGTGAGCTGCCCGGAAGAAAGGAGGAGCCTAAACCGGCAACCCTCATTCAGGCGGCTGTGAAGATAAAAAGAACCGCTGGACAAGTTGTGAATCTGATGTCGACTCAGCACCGAAAACCCCGGACTGGATCTTAACACGCAGTCCTTGCATCCAACAAATACTGAACTCGTCCAGGCCATAGGAAATGTGCTTTTAGAGACAACTACAGCGCTAGAAGCCTGAACTGCATCGGCGATGTGGCAGGGGCAGTCACAGTTGCCCGCGCAGGCCCAGCAGAACACACAGGTGGAGCCAGCTTGTTCAAGAAAGTATGTCTAGGTTCTTCATCATAAGGGCTTCGGGGTTTAGCATTCAGGGTGTGGGTTTAGGAGGTTTGGGTTTAGAGGTGTGGTTACACGGTCTAGGCTCTGTCGGTGTTAAGGTTTTAGGGTTTCGGTCATCAAATGTTTCGTTTCTGAAATGCTGTAAGTGCCTGAGATCTGTAACAGGGGATTGCCAGTAACACGATGGCTGTAGGAAGCGCCAGAAGTGCAGTTCCTGCCGTCACAGCATCCGCGCTCCATTTGTAAGCACGTTGCTAGTCAAGATTGTTGGGTTTTCGTATCGCTTCAACGATCCCGATTCCCCTCGGAAAACTCGTTAATGCTCTGACTTTTTACAACATTTCTATGCAGAGGCTGTGGTACACTAGTGCAGGCCGTAGACAATCGCAAGGGCTCAGCAGTACCTACGAGCGTCTGACACACTTGGACTTGGAGGCAGACGTCAACAAGGTGGCCGCAGCGCCGGTGGTAAGAAGTCTGGTGTCGCTGCAACGGGCCCCTCGGCGCAGGATAATGGTGAGGATCAGGATGAAGACATAATTGTTACAATTGGTGATGAGGGTGATCATGAAGTTCATGATGTTGCTGGTGTGGTTGGCGAAGAAGAAGGCATGCAAAGCAGTAAAGGTGGATGGGAAGGTGCAGCTAACGGCCGAGTTCTTGATGCTGCTGATGACGCTGACGATGACCACGGCAACCACCACCATCACCACTGCCGCTAGAATGAACGTCGGTGCCTTTGGTGATGAGATCTCTCGACTTGAGCGACGCTCAACAAAAGATGGGATGGAGTGTAGTTGCTTGCGTTGTGAAAGAAGCTTTAAATCCCGTTGCCTGCACCGAAAGTCTGAAACTCCAGCGGCATGATTCCCATAGAGCACCACTGCTCTGATCATACTGCGGGATCGTTTCGGTGGCTTTTGAGGACCTTCGTTTCGGCCTGGCTTTCCGCCAAGGACAGCTGCAGAATGGAGAAAACTCCAGAGGGGCCGGGGCTCCCAGCTGCAGCTTCTATGCCCCAGGATCTTTTGCTGGCTGCTAACCCTTCCGAGGGGTCAGCTTAAGCATAAGGAGAACCTGGCTTCAGAAAGCTGCGTACCATCTTCCGAAACATGCTCCATGTCCAGTTGAACTAACGTGTCTGTCCTGCCAGGATTCTGCTAAAAGCCCTTAACCCAGACTCGTTCGCCCACATCGACGGCTTTTTCGCAATCATAACCGTACTACTTGCAATTACCCTCCTAGCTACTGGTCGAAAAAAAAGGCATGCAATCAGAAGCAAGGGTGTTCACCATGTTTCAGTGGGATGATACTGTGTAATTAGTGCCACTGCTCCTGCTGTTGCCACCAAGCCCGCACTGTCATAACAGCAACAACCCACCTGCCTGCCTGTTCCCTCCATCAACCAAACACATATGTACATACATACATACATACATACATACATACATACATACATACATACATACATACATGTATATTGAGAGATATGTGTATGCATATGTGTATGTTTATGTATATGTACGTATATGTGCATTTGCATGTGTGTGTATGTGTGGGTGTATATATATATATATACACATATGTGTGTGTGTGTATGTGTTGGTATATACATATGTATGTATGCATGCATGCATGCATGGGTGTATGTATGTATGTATGTATGTATGTATGTATGTATGTATGTATGTATGTGTGTATGTGTGTACGTATGCATATATGCATGTATGCATGTATGTATGTATGTATGTATGTATGTATGTAT